GAGCATGGATGATACCTGATGCCAATGAAGCAGATGAAGCATCCAAGGAAAGTGTTTGAGATTTACCCATTTGTTGTAACAATTGGGTGACTTGACTGATTAATGCTGATGAGTTGGTCGAACTGGTTGAGGCCTCAGGTTTACTCATTTTTTGCAGCACCTGCAATAGTTGACTGGTTACGGCTGCAGGTGTTAGAGTTGCTGCAATCATTGAGTCTTCATTTGTTACTTGATGAGCTGCCTTTTCATGTGGACCTACTGCCTTCTCAGATTGAGTTGAAGCCTTGTTGATATCTCTTCCATTCTTTGGCTTTAAGTGTGGATGGAGAATCCAACATCTGTTTCTAGTGTGTCTGGGTTGTCCACAATAATCACACTTCACAGGATCCCTTTGTCCCTTTCTTCGGTCAACTACAAATGCCTTTGACTCTGAAGTCACAGTATGTGACTTTGTTTCACTGTGCATCACTTTCCTTCGGATTTCTTCTCTTTGAATAATGGTACAAATATTGTTAAAGGAAGGCATCTCAGTACTCATGAGAATATTTCTTCTAAGATCTTCATAGTCTGAATCAAGACTTGCAAGCAACTGAAAATTTTTATCTTCCTCTGCCCTCTGCACAAGAACCTTAGAATCAGTCGTATGAGGTCGATACAGGGCAAGCTCATTCCACATACCTTTCAATTTCCCAAGATGCTCAATGAAGGATTTTCCCTCTTGATAAGCTCCTGCAATTTCTTTCTTTAACTCAAAAATTCGGGCTGCATTGTTTTGCTGCCCATACATCTCTTTAAGGGACTCCCACAAGTGTTTAGAGGAATCTGAGTAGCTGAAGATTTCAGCAACTTGTGGCTCCATGGAATTTAAAATCCAAGACATAACAAGTTGATCCTTTGACAGCCATTCTTCAAATTTTGGATCACCATCATCTGGGGCTGGATTTTTTCCATTAATAAATCCCAGCTTTGATTTTCCTCCAAGAGCTAAAGTAACAGCTCTGGACCAAGGGATATAATTGAAACCATTCAAGAGAACAGAGCAAAGCCTCATGTTTGGATTTGCCTCAAACTCAGAAATGCCAGCAGCTGTAGCATTAGTAACAGTAGCGGTAGACTCAACTTTTTCTCCCATGGAAGAGAAAACAACGGAGAAGACAACCGACTAAATAAAAGGAGAAACAGGTGGGCTTCTACCACACCTGCTCTGATACCATGAAGAAATAAAGGCTATGAAATAGCAACAGACAAGAACAAAGAATTATAATGGTTCGGCTGTTGATACCTACATCCACTTTGAATGAGATTGTCTTATTCATCATAACACATCAAGACAGCTCTTTAGAGCTTTATAGATGGATACATCACAAGGAAATAATAAACAATTATACAATGCCCAAGGTAAGCATGCAAAAGTAACAAGCACCCGAAACAAGCATGCTCCATTAGACAAGCATGCTCCACCACTGCACAGCTATCCAACCAATGAATAATATAATAATATAGTATTCCAACAAGAAAGAATGATGGTGATTGGTAATTTGCATTGATTTGTTTTTTTGTATTTGTTTGGACATTATATTTTATGCACACTGTCTTTTTGGATCTCACCTTATTGTACAGGACAAGCTGATGTTCTGGTCTATTTGGAACTTAACCTGTAGTTTTTGTATGCCTTTTGTTTTTTCCTTATATATATGTATTTAATTTTATGCACTTCAAATTTGCAGATGGCATAACATTAATGGATGAGTGTTTTGAGGGGTTCGAAGATCCAGCAAAGGTGATAACTTTTGTCTTGGGAAAAATTATAATTGGTTGTCTGCTGTTTGTACGTTACAAGGGTGTGATTTACACTTGATATTGAAATTAGTTTAACATTCTGAAACTTGATATTTATTGAGTTCCATGCTTCAAATTCTGAAAATTTAATTTGGGCTTTAAATTTTATTTATTTTGGATTGGAATTAGTTTAAATTGTGGCACCCTTTTGACTTTGATTTTTTCATTTTTGATGCTGGCTTTCTTTCTTTTTCTGTAGAAAGAATTAATACTTTTTTCTCTTTATAATTATTGTTGAGTTACTGACTTGGAATTATCTGTTAAGGACATCCTCAATATCCATTGTTAAGAACTAACTTTTAAAATCTGCAGCTTCCACAAATGGTCCTTTGTTTAAATTTCACAGAATTTGAAATTCAGAAATTATTTACATTTCTGCTGTTTCATAAATTTCCCAACTTGTAAACGAGTACTTGCTTGTTGTCATTGATTGTTGAAAAAGTTTTCGGTTTTTCTCTTACTCTGCAATTTGCTTTTTTGGGTTATGGGGATGTCCTTTTGGTTCGTAAGAAAGTTTCTTTCTTTCTTTTCAAAACAAGTTTCTTGGTGTTGTACTTAGTTTTATCTGCAACCTCACTCTCTGTTTTATTTTTGAAATAGTGAAGCAAATATTATGAAGGCTTACTATACTGCTATATAAGAGGTGCATGCGGTCTTACGTTATTCTTCTTTTTCAACTATTTGCATGCTCTCAGGTTTGATATGGGATTGAAAATGCCAGATCCAAGCGGAGCACTGCAGGCCCTCAACATTTTATATGCTTTTTTCATGTTTATTTCAGTATGTGAGACTTATGAAACGGAAGGACCTACACCAAAACGCAATTGGACGAAGTTCGAGATGAATGAGTGTTCGGTTCATTTTTACACATGATTTTTCATGTTATTCACCCACTATTTTGAGTTAGTTCTTGACATTTTATAGCTTTTTACTTCCTTTTTGTGTTTTCTTAGATTTTACCTTGGTTGGGATGAAAATGAGCTAAAAGTGCATTATTAGTTATAAATTCTGTTTTTGTTCATTTTCGTAGGTCAACTTCTTGGCCTGGGATCAACATGCTCTGGTGCTCGGATGAGGTCATGATCTTCATGAGACTTGTTCCAATGGATGTTAACTACAACATATCCAAATTTGAGCTCCATTGGACAAGTATTGCCTATCCAACCAATCCAGCATGTTACCACAGCTCTGGAAATCCGGTATTTTGCTTATATATAGACAAGAATAAATAATATGTGGGGTTGGAAAGATTGTGATTCATGGAAATGTTGAATATATATTTCAAGTATGGATATATTTAAATTTATATATGTTTTTTATGTGCAATGGCAACACTTCATGATCTGTATTGATATTCTGAGAGTAATCAAGTAAAGTGTAATTTCTAAAATAAAATATCTATAGTTTTGCACAAACAACTAAAATTAAAAAGTTAACACATAACTCATAAGATAACTGATGCCTATAACCAAAAGTAGCATCAGCACTCACAAGACAACTAATGCCTATAATCAGAAGTAGCTGCACTATTGTTTCTTGTGATGTTGTAAGTTGGAAAAAGAATTAGTGCATTAATTAATTATGATGCTGTAAATTGTATTTAGAATCAGAGCTATTAAAACTCCCGATGTCGTTGCAGGTTTAGGCATCAGGGGTCAATGCTTTTTTGGCACACGGGAGGCACTTTAGCATCGAGGATTAGAATAGATCCAATGCGGTTGGTATATAAAGGCAATGGAGTAAAAGGCAACTTTCACAAATACCACGGTAGTTATGGCACATAGGCCATGAATATTATTCATTGCTAAAAGTCAATTTTGACATAGTTTGATTAGATATTTAACTACATGTAATACCCTTATTATTATTATTATTATTATTTATAAATTTATAATAGATGTCCGTTCCGCAATTTGTTTGTCTTGCACTTTGATCAGAACAATTCATCCGTTTTTTAGCCGTGTCGTCATAGCAAAGTACAACCTCCCACAACAAATCACCGCCGTTGACTCTATGGCAAAGAAGGAGAGGCGAACTGCGAGTTTCCATTTGAATAGCATTCGTAAGCAAAACATCTTTATACGTCGCGTTTCTTGGAATGATTTTGTGTTTGGCAAAAATATCCTTAATCTTGTTTTCTTCCCACAAATCACATGCTTTTGACAAGTAAGTATTCTGGCTGGAAAACTTAGCACATGTGCCGTGTTTTTCGTACTCCATCGCCCAAAACCACATATCATTGTCTTTTCCTTGGGCAACTCTCTGCTCCAGATTTGGCCAAGAAGTTTTCAATTTCGATACCAATGTAGCATCATTTTGCAGCTACTTAATTATATTATTATAAGATAGAAAGCTATAATTAGATTTGGCGATCAGATCAGTCGATCATAAATGAAAACTGTAAATAAAAGGAATGAATATAAAGTACATTAAAGAAAGAATAAAAAGATTTAAGAAATTAAGAAATATATACGTACCATAGTGCTGCTAAATTTTGAAGCTGAATTGCATGTCAATATCTTGGAGAGGTTGGTTGGCCAGAGGCCGTGAGTAGTGAACTCAGTTTTTTGAATCCCTGGAATGCACCGTGCCTTCACGCATTTCGTGTTCGGCCATTGTAGTACATATTGTAGATAGTCATACGGTTGCCCATGAGTGGTGATAGCTTGCAGAGACGCCGCTGAAAAGAGCACAAGAAGGAGTAGTTTTAACATTGCCAATATCTCATATATTAATGGCATGCTGATGATCTGATATCTCATATATTATGCCTTACATATATATCTAAATATGCTGCTTAGTTCTCACACACAGTATTTATACTAGAAGTTGTGATCACTTTTTTGTAGTGGTTCGTTCAAGTCATGGAATACCTACCAAGCCCACATGTACTGCCATTTCCACATGTACTGCCATTAAGCGTGTATGGTGTTAGGCATGACTATATGAGCTAGTAATCATAACACGTTTGAAGTGCTTTAGATGGCTTTTGGGATCGGAATCCCCTTTGAAGTGTGTGAATGTGTGAAAGAAGGCATTGGGGTCAATTTTCCTATTTTTCTTCAAACTTTTTCCAAAAAAATAATTGTTACAGTTGGTCATACCATCAGACTTTACCCTCGTACACATCCCAAAAATAGTGCTGCGGTTGCGTCATCTTGTGGCCTAGCAGCTTATTTCAAAGCCTTGATGAATAAGGCCATAAGTCAATAGATTGAATGTTATCTACGCCTGCCGGCCGCTGCAAGAAGAGGCTGCAACGGATTCATGACAGTCCCATTAAGACGGGCTTAAATAGCATTTAGCTGGTTCTGAATTCACTAGCTCCTCTCTCTCGAAACCCTTTAAAGAAGGTTGATTCATTGTGGTTGATGACGTAAGTGCTTATCAAGATGCATCCATGGATAAAATTTGCTATACATGTGTAAAAAGATATAACCATGCGTGCCATAGGAGTGTGTACAGTTGAACAGCCCTGAAACATTGTCAAGTGAGAAAAGTAAACCACAAACGGAATGTGAATAGAGAAAACCAGTTTCTATACAGCACCAATTCACATATGTACAAACAAAATCCATTCCATCCATTTGGTTAGGCTCTGAAGGTTCCTCTATCCAATTATCTTCTTCAGTCCCGATGAAGCATAGCAATAGAA